AGGTGGCGCTGGACGGCGACGAGGTTTGTTTCTGTTTACCTTTAAAGTCGCGAGACCTCAACTTGGCCGTGGTGCGCCACGCGGTTGTTCTAATCGCTATTTATCTATTTACATGTAAAGTACAAGGTCATTGATTTGGTCACGGATGAGAATTTAGTAGCTTGAGACGAAATGCTACTTATGGGCGCGCCAATCCATTAGGAGAGTGGGCGAGCTCAGTAGAGAAGTTTTTGATGAGTTGACTAAGATCAGAAAAAAACCCATATGTAGCTTAAATTATTTCCTGCCTTCCATTTAAAGAGAAGTCTTAGTTAAACAAAATTAGTTGTGCTCTCATAATCATATTCTACTTTTCCAGAGCGTTAGTTTGCAAAAAATTGTTTTCATTTTTTTTTGCTTTCGCATTTCGCTTTTTTAATTTCGCATAATTTTATAGGAGTGTACATGAATTATTCATCAATGAGTTGCGAGGTGCGCTCATAATTTCACATTTTCACTTACAATTTGTAATTATAATACACTATCTGTATTATGAATATTTATATGTATTTTAAACACATACGTATTTGTAATAACTCTCTGTAGTTTTATTCATCATCTGTATGTTAATTATCTTTATTTCTAATAACCATGTGTGGTCACTTGTGACAGAAGTAGGAGACTACGGCTCCGTCCCTGGCCAGATCTCCGTACTCTCCTCCCCCACCAACATCCCCGACCCTGCCGCTGTTCACCAGCATCGTCCCGAGGACCTACACATTAAAGTGAGTCCGCTCACAGTCACGAAATCTGGATTACATTCATACTTTTCCATCTGTGCTCCTAGAAGTACAAGTTTGCTTGAAAATTGTCAGTGATATCCTTCATTAAATTGTTTTCCAGTTGGAAAAATATCTTATTTTTGTATAAGAAACGATGTATTTTAACCAGCGTTTGTGATTTTATTTTAATTAACTATATAATAAATGTACGCTGCAGTCGCTGATGCACACGGAGCTACCAGCGCGCGCAGTGTCGCGGGAAGCGTCGCTGACGCAGAAGCTGGAGACGGCGCTGGGGTCTGTGTCGCCGCTGCTCAGGGAGATCATGGTCGACTTCGCGCCCTTCCTCTCCAAGACTCTTGTCGGCTCTCATGGCCAGGAGCTGCTGCTTGAGGGTGCGGTGGTCTTCATAACTATATACTCGTATTTAAATTCTTGTTATTAAATATTCGTATTCGTATTCTTGTCATCAAATATTCGTATTCATATTATTGTTATCAAATACTCGTATTTGAATTCTTGTTATCAGATATTCGTATTCATATTCCTGCTATTAAATACAAATTCATGTTATCAAAGACTCTGAATGCTCGGCAAGTGAAACCCTTAACCACTAGCACGAGTCACTCACTGTAACTAACAGCTGTTGTATTTGTGTTAGGCCTGACAACGTTCAAGCAGAGCCAGAGCGTCGTGGAGCTCGTGATGTTGCTGTGCTCGCAGGAGTGGCAGAACTCACTGCAGAAACACGCCGGGCTCGCCTTCATTGAGCTCATCAACGAGGGAAGGTGCGTGAGGGTGCCGACACTCGCATGTCTTGTTGCTTACGCGCTCTTGTCGGGACTATTCGATGCTTGATACATGTTCTTGATGGGTATTGCGCGGTGTCTTTATCGTATTATTCAGGGGATTATTGCAGTTCATTGCGGTCAGTTAGTGAGGTAGTTATTGCAGGTCATTGCAGTTTGTTGTCTTCAATGTGGTCAATTATAGAGGTAGTAATTGCTGGTCATTGCGGTCAATTATTGAGGAGGTTATTACAGGTCATTTCAGGTTATAATTATGTTGGCTGTAAATTATCGAGGTAATGATTGCAGGTTATTGCTGGTATTGTCATAATGACTGTTACTTATTGATGTAATTATTGCAGGTTATTGTCACACGCAATGAAGGACCACATCGTGCGGGTTGCCAACGAGGCTGAGTTCATCCTGAACAGGATGAGGGCAGACGACGTTCTCAAGCACGCCGAGTTCGAGGTGAGGCAGGCTGCAGGGTTCTGCTTATATGGGATGTTTACACGTATCCCTTATCAGTATCCTATCAGGCTTGTCGCTCTTGCGGAATTTTTTTTTTTCATGGTCCTAATATCAGGTTGACTGTGGATAAATTTGAGCGTATATTGGATAAATTTTAGCGTATATAACTGTTATAAATTTGAGAGTATCAGACTGAGATAATAGTTAAGTTTCTTTGTTAAGAATTACTAATCTAATCAAAGTACAAAAATAATTTATTGTAAATTATGTTTGAAGCCAATTACTCTTTGCAAAAACCTCACTGGAATGTATTTGTATCTTTGTATTTCAACAATTAATCGAGGAAATGTTAAAATTAAAAATTAATTGATGAAATGTTAAAATTTCTAATGAACTGGACTATTCAGTCGTTTTGATTAAAGACGGCGTTGAATATCTTTTAGCTTGCTATTCTAGCCAATAATTCTTGCTGTACGCTAATGTATAAATCTGAACCTTTCCTAGATTTTGAATTGCTTATAATAAAACAACAATAATAATAAGTATATAATAAATGCATTATCAAAATAATTGTAATATTATTCTGAATGCACCAAACTATTCCCTTGCAGCTTATAATAAAATAATAATAATAATATGTTAGATGCGTAATCAAAGTAATTGTAATAATATCACACTACTGAATGCACTAACCAACTGCCTCGCAGCTGATAATAAAATAATAATAGTATAATGAAAGCGTAATCAAAGTAATTATAATAATATTATAATAAAGAACGCACCAATCAATTGCCTGGCAGCTTATAATATAATAAAATAATAATAGTATAATAAATGCGTTATCAAAGTAAATGTACTAATNGACGAAATGCTACTTATGGGCGCGCCAATCCATTAGGAGAGTGGGCGAGCTCAGTAGAGAAGTTTTTGATGAGTTGACTAAGATCAGAAAAAAACCCATATGTAGCTTAAATTATTTCCTGCCTTCCATTTAAAGAGAAGTCTTAGTTAAACAAAATTAGTTGTGCTCTCATAATCATATTCTACTTTTCCAGAGCGTTAGTTTGCAAAAAATTGTTTTCATTTTTTTTTGCTTTCGCATTTCGCTTTTTTAATTTCGCATAATTTTATAGGAGTGTACATGAATTATTCATCAATGAGTTGCGAGGTGCGCTCATAATTTCACATTTTCACTTACAAATTGTTGTTATAATACACTATCTGTATTATGAATATTTATATGTATTTTAAACACATACGTATTTGTAATAACTCTCTGTAATTTTATTCATCATCTGTATGTTAATTATCTTTATTTCTAATAACCATGTGTGGTCACTTGTGACAGAAGTAGGAGACTACGGCTCCGTCCCTGGCCAGATCTCCGTACTCTCCTCCCCCACCAACATCCCCGACCCTGCCGCTGTTCACCAGCATCGTCCCGAGGACCTACACATTAAAGTGAGTCCGCTCACAGTCACGAAATCTGGATTACATTCATACTTTTCCATCTGTGCTCCTAGAAGTACAAGTTTGCTTGAAAATTGTCAGTGATATCCTTC